AGTCAAATTGTAAGAGACTCCAAAAAAAATATTTGTGAGCCTTTTGTTTCTGAGCATAAACCAAGTTACCAGATAGCTTTGCTTTATTTTGAGAAATTTGATTGGTCAAAAACTGTTATGATGAAGACAACTCTGGAGAGTTCATTTAAAAATCTAGTAAGATGAGTAGTTCTCATCTTACCAGATTTTTTGCTCTTACTGGCAGAGTTAGCACAAGAAAAAAAGCATCCAAAATAAATATGACCCCGATCAACAAACTTCCCTGCATGTCTGTAAGAATACAGAGTTTGTTTATCTACCTTCTCTGCAACTGCCTCACCCAGCTCTGGCACATACCATTCGGCATGGCAGAGATGCCATGCCCAGTTTCATGAGAGTACTAAAACAAAGACTTGATACAGAAGTTTTGCGCAATCAGTTAGCTTTCATGTAAACCCAGTTTTCAACTAATGATTACATTTGTTGTTACTTAGAAGCAATTTTATATGTTATTAGTTAGACTAATATATGTTATACAACTCAACCATTATGAATTACATTTTATATGCTGATGACACATTGTGGTGACATGTCAGTCACCACAATGTTTAAACCTTACGTTAATCTAAGTGATAATAATAATATTAATGTTTTTATTTTTTTATTTTCATAGTGCTTTTAAAGAAAGAAAAGCTCCAATCTTTTATAGGAAATTAATAACTCAAAGTTATTAAAGTAGGGCATAGAATAATAAGGTTAGTGAACAAACTTAAATGTAACTAAAAGAGAAAAAGCAAAAGTATGCTTGAAAATCGCTCAGACAGGAAGAAAAATCACTTAAAGTGAATGAAGGATTAAATGGGGTGACAAGACAACATTCCTTTCCTGAAAAGACTTCTTCTTTATATGGTAGATATGAACAACTTCATTAAAACATCTGAAACCTCTATCTTTCACTAACCAAATTTTTTTTTTTTTTTCACGCTTATTCCCTGATCAGAGTGGACTGCTCTCTCCATGCAGGATTCAGACTCGGAAGGGTGGCCACTCTCCATTCTTCATAATAGCTCGCCATACATAAGCACTGCCTGCAGAGCAGTCTCCTGAGTTGTTTCTAAACACGCCCCCACCAACACCTTGTGTTGGTCTTGCTGCTGGCACACTGCATGTCGACCAGTTCACTCCATGTTGGTCGAGTTCATAGTTAAAAAGCACTAGCTCAAAATTCAATTGACACCGCTGATAATTAAATAGTTCACGTTTATAGTTCACGTTTGAAAAAAAGAACTAAGTTCACAAACCTATAAATTAACTAGTTCAAGTTCATCTCTTAATTTAATCAATAAATCAAAAATGATTAATTACTTTCCTCATTAAATAGCAAATATTTCCCAAGATAGCTCGGGTGCTTTAACTTGATGCGTCGCTTTAGATTTTAAGTGGACTTGGCTAGTGTATGGACTTGTTTTTTAAGTCCCGGGGGGCACAGTTTGCACAAAAATTTGTTTTTTTCTTTCCGAGTCTTCCTTTGTTAGTTCATAAAACTCTACCAAGCGCTCTGCAAAACTGGCATCAGAAATACAATTTAATGTGTCTGAATTGCGCACACTAGTACTAGTAGTAGACATGCTGGACTGTCATGCTGTTATCAATAACTGCCATAAGCCTGACCTTATCTTTTTCTTTTCTTTTCTTTTGTAAAATTAATTATCTGACCAGTGCTGACATGTTTAGCTGCATGTCGTCATTCAACTGCTGGTTGTCTAGGTCGTGTCCTGAAAACAAAATGGGCTAAATTAATAATTGGCAATCTTTTTGGGGAAACCCGATCTGATTCGGAGAGACGGCATCCATCCTACTTTGGATTTTGCCGCTCTCCTCCTCCTCACCCAGAATTTCTGGGTATGTGAAAATGTAAATAGCTAGAGGGAGTTGCCTCATTTATGCTCACATAATCGTCTTGCTGCAGCCAGGTTTCTGTAAGGCAACAGAAATCAGTGTGATTATCCCAAATCAAGTCATTAACTAAAAGACTTTTCGAAGAAAGAGAGATGAATAAACCACATTCAATTGTTTTGTCCCCTAATTTGAGTTATTTTTATTAGTTTATCATGATTTACACCTTTTGTATTCTTCTCTAATTTGTTTGATTTTAGTTTTGGGCAAGACCCTATGGGCCGGATCTATCAAAGGTTTGCGTGTATAAAAACATGAGCTATTTCACTGCGCACGCTAAAAAATGTACAAACTGATCTATCAACAGCGTGCTAAAAGGATTTGGTCTTTAAAACGTGCTAAATAGCGCCTCTTATCCATTTAGTACTTTTTCTGCAATGAATATGCAATATAGGGCGTTTACACGCTAAAGTGCGTCTTGTGGGAGGAGAACGTGTAAATATATTAATTAGCACTCGCAAAGTGATTTATTAAACCTGAAAGCAATTTTGCTATCGGTATCTGTCTCTATATTTAACATGTTTCAAAAGAAGGTGCAAATGGTCTGTATGCGTAATTGCGCACACATGGCAGCGGTTATTGTCGCAAGAAGGAGACATCGAAATGAAGCAAGGAGACGCAGAGAACGCATTTTTTCACTCCGTGTGAATATTTTTGGAATGAACGAGGAAACGATCTTCAAAACATATCGTTTATCCAGCATTGCCATTTTGGAGCTGTTGGGGGAACTCTGAATGGATTTGGAGCCAGCCACAAGGAGGACCCACGCAATACCAGATATCACAAAACTCCTTGCAACATTGGATCTCCCAATCTAGTTTTTCAGAAGTGCTGTCCGACGTTCTAAATGCCATGTCGCCCTGACGCCCTAACGGAGAAACCAGACCTCCCCCCTGCGCCTGTGGAGCAACATGCCAATGCTGCGGGGATGCGTACAGTACGCGCAGTAATCTCATCCACAGTCACTTCTTGTGAGCCATTTAGTATGTGCATTTTTCTACAGGCCAATACAAAACACCAGTTTTTTGTTTTTTTTTACTGCAGTGAAGTAGAAATTCAGCCACATACCACCTTAGGGAATAAAAGTTGCCAAACTTTTTTTTCTCTCTCTCTCTCTCTCTCTCTCTCTCTCTCTCTCTCTCTATATATATATATATATATATATATATATATATATATATATATATATATATATATATATATCTATATATATGTGTATATATATATAGATATAGATATATATATATATATATATATATATACATATATATAGATATAGATATATATATATATATATACATATATATAGATATAGATATATATAGATATATATCTATATATATTTTTTTCTTGTTGGGGGTCACTGTAAGATTTAAATTTCTTAATGCACTAGTTTGTACAAACTACAAACTAGTTTGCCGCAAACCACAAAACGCGCAAAACCATAATTTAAATAGGGTGTCTCCAACAGTTTTGCACCTGCCACCAGTTACGCAGTCACTCTTGTTAAATCACCCGCAAACCATGGTTCAGCCCCTTGCGCAAAATTCCAGTTTGCGAGCGCAAATTACTGCACGCAAAATTGGATCTTGATAAATCCGGCCCTATGAGAAAGTCCACAAACTGTGGTTAAAAGCCTTGAGCTGATTACATTTTAATGTGATTAGTTTCCATCATCGTTCAGTTTACCTTTTTATGCTGAATTCAAGAATACATGCTATACACAACCAAGAAGTACAAAAACATTTTTCAGCAACTATTCTGCTCACACAGTTCTAATTCAGTTCAAAACATTTTATTTGTCTTTATAAAAAAAACCTTTTCCTTAAAATGAATTAAGTGGTATGTCTTTGAGATGTCTTACAACACCCGTTATTTTCAGTGTAAGGTGGTTAGTTTTCTCATGAAAACCTTAATTAGTTACCCAGAATTGAACAAAGAGATTTTTCATCACTCAAATTGTAAGAGATTTGAAAATTTGTTTTTAAGCCTTTTGTTTCTGAGCATAAACCAAGTTATATCATAACTTTGTTTTATATTGAGAACTTAAATTGTTCAAAAACAGTTATGATGAAGGCATCCCTGGAGAGTTCATTCAGCAATCTGGTAATAGGAGAACAGTGTTTCTGCAATAGGGTGAGGGTATTTTCTCTTACTGGCAGAAGTAGCACAATGCATTTATACACAAGACAAGAGACATCCAAAAAAAATATGACGTCATCAACCAGCTTCCCAGCATATCTGTAAGATTACAGAGTTTTTTTTAATCTACCTCCTCTGTAACTGCATCAATCCAGCTCTGACACATACCACTCAACATTGCAGAGATGCCATGTCTCACCCAGTTTCATGAAGATAATAAAACAAAGACATTAAGTAAACAATAAGTTTGCAGTCATAAGGTTATAAAATGCAATGGGCCTATGCAAGAACCATTTGTAAGCACAAACTCATTCTTAAAATGTTTACTATGAGGAAGTCCAGAAACTGTAGTTAAAAGCCTTCAGCTGATCCACCATACACTGTGTGCAGAATTATTAGGCATATTGTATTTTTGAGGATTATTTTTATTATTGGGCCACAATTGTGTTCTCAATCAACCCAAAAGACTCCTTAATATAAAAGTTTCATATTTTTGGAAGTTGGTGTGTTTTTTTTTAGATTTGGACATTTTATGAGGATGTCTCTGTGTGCAGGTAAAAATTACTGTGCAGAATTATTAGGCAACATAATAGAAAACAAACATATACCCATCTCACTTGTTTATTTTCACCAGGTAAACCAATATAACAACTCAAAATTCAGAAATAAACGTTTCCGACTTTCAGAAAAAAAAAAAAAATCAGTGACCAATATAGCCACCTTTCTTCACCATGATGCTCAAATGCCTTCCATCGAAAGATTCTGTCAGTTTTCAGTTAACCCAGGCACTGTTCAGAGAGGTGTACTGTTTTCCCTCTCTGTAGATCTCACATTTCATGGAGGACCACAGGTTCTTGATGGGGTTCAGATCAGGGGAACAAGGGGGCCATTATTTTTTCTCCTTTTAGACTTTTTCTGGCCAGTCACATTGTGGTGTATTTTGATGCGTGTGACGGAGCTTTGTCCTGCATGAATATCATGTTTTTCTTGAACGATGACGACTTCTTCTTGTACCACTGTTTGATGGCGGTGTCTTCCAGAACCTGGCAGTAGGTCTGGGAGTTGATCTTGACTCCATCATCAACCCGAAAAAAGGTCCCACAAGCTCATCTTGATACCAGCCCATACCAGTAGCCCACCTCCACCTTGCTGGTGTCTGAGGCGATAATAAACTTGCTGCCCTTACTGATCCAGCCTCGTGCCCAGCTGTCTGACCCATCAAGACTCACTCTCATTTCATCAGACCAAAACAACTCAGAGAAATCAGTCTTTAGATATTTCTTGGCCCAACCTTGACGTTTTGTCTTGTGTGTCTTGTTCAAAAGTGGCCTTTTTTCGGGTTTCCTTACCTTGGCCAGGTCCCTGAGTATTTAGCACCTTGTGCTTCTAGGCACTCCAGACATGTTGCAACTCTGAAATATGGCACAACTGGTGGCTAATGACTTCCTGGCAGCTTCACGCTTGATCCTTCTCAATTCATGGGGAGTTATTTTGCGTCTTCTTTTTTCAACACGCTTCTTGCGCCCCTGTTGGCTATTTGCCAAGAACCGCTTGATTGTGCGATGACCCACTTCAAAAGCTTGGAAATTTCCAAATTGCTGCATCCCTCTGAAAGACACCTGACAATTTTTGACTTTTCAGAGTCTGTCAAATCTCTTTTCTGACCCATTTTGCCAAAGGAAATAAAGTTGCCTAATCATTAAGCACACCTTATATAGGGTATTGATGTCATTGGGCCACTCACCTTCTCATTACAGAGATGCACATCAACTGATTTACTTAATTGGTAGTTGGCTTTCAAGCCTATAAAGCTTGGAGTAGGACAACATATATGAAAAGTATGATGTGGTTGAAATACTCATTTGGCCAATAATTCTGCACACAGTGTAGTTCTGATGAAAATTAAAAAGAGTTATCATATCTCTTTTATCCTAGCTGCGCAGCTAGAGCAGCAGAGATGCTTCAGCCGCAGAAGTAAACTTAAGCATAACAGTGGCTATGGGGTCCTGCACAAGCATTACGGGTTGGATTTTTTCATCTGTCGGGGTACACACACACACTGCATAAAAAGTGAGATTTTCGTCCCCGTAAACTCCCGTAAACTCCTGCAGATCTCCCTGATTTTCGTCAGTTTCCGACAATTTGCAACCCGCGCTTGTCCGCGTTTGTCGTGCCACAAATTGTCGGAAACGGACTCTGACGTATATGGAGAGCGATCAGCTGTACTAATGGCCCTAATTAGCATATGAATGCAGCAAACCCGCGTGCCTGGCCAGGTCTGGCTTGAATAACCCTACTCAGTATTGGCTGAACCACTATTCTCAAACAAGTGAAATCGCTCGTGATTGGCAGCAAAACCACACGTGGCCACGCCAGGCTTTAATTGTCCATAATGAACACCATGTTCAGGCATAAGGATGTCCATCGGTGCACTTGGCACCAGGACACCCTAGGTGAAGGTTGATGATCGACTTTGTAGTCGTATCTTCTGATCTTCGGCCGCATGTTTTGGACACTCGGGTGAAGAGAGGGGCTTAGCTGTCCACCGACCACCACTTGGTTGTGAGCTGGATATGCTGAAAGAGGAGGAAGCCTGAAAGACTCGGCAGGCCCAAACGTGTAGTGAGGGTCTGCTGGGAACATCTGGTGGAGCCCTCGGTCAGGGAAGTGTTCAACTCCCACCTCCGGGAGAGCTTCTCTCAGGTTCCGAGGGAGGTAGGAGACATGGAGTCCGAATGGGCTGTGTTCTCTGCCTCTATTGTCGATGCAGCTGCCTGTAGTGGTGGCAATCCCCGAACCCGGTGGTGGACACCGATAGTAAGGGATGCTGTCAAGCTGAAGAAGGAGTCCTATCGAGCTTGGCTGGCTCGTGGGACTCCTGAAGCAGCAAGCAGGTTCCGTGAGGCCAAGCGTTTCTTGACCCGGGCGGTTGCAGAGGCAAAATCTCGGGCCTGGGAGGAGTTCGGAGAGGCCATGGAAAAAGACTATCGGTTGGCCTCAAAGCGATTCTGGTAAACCGTCTGGCGCCTCCGGAGGGGAAAGCAGTGCTTCACTAACACTGTTTTCAGTGGGAGTGGGGAGCTGCTGACCTTGAAGGAGGATAATGTCGGGCAGTGGAAGGAATACTTTGAGGATCTCCTCAACCCGACAGACACGCCTTCCGTGGGGGAAGAAGAGACGGGGTGCTTGGGGCTGGATTTGTTCATCACCAAGGCTGAAGTCACTAAGGTGGTCAAAAAACTCGGTGGCAAGGCTTCGGGGCTGGACGAGATCCGTCCTGAGTATCTTAGAGCTCTGGATGTTGTCGGGCTATCATGGTTGACACGTCTCTTCAACATCGCGTGGAGGTCGGGGACAGTCCCCCTGGATTGGCAGACTGGGGTGGCGGTTCCCCTCCACAAGAAGGGGGACCGGAGGGTGTGTTCCAACTATCGGGGAATCACACTTCTCAGCCTCCCTGGAAAGGCCTATGCCAGGGTGCTGGAGAGGAGAGTCCGGCTGATTGTCGAACCTCGGCTGCAGGAGGAGCAGAGTGGTTTTCGTCCTGGCCGTGGAAAAGTGGACCAGCTCTACACCCTCTGCAGGGTGCTTGAGGGTTCATGGGAGTTTGCCCAACCAGTCCACATGTGTTTTGTGGACTTGGAGAAGGCATTCGACCTTGTCCCTCGTGCTGCCCTGTGGGGGGTGCTCCAGGAGTATGGAGTCGGAGGCCCTTTACTAGGGGCCATCCGTTCTCTGTACACGCGGAGCAGGAGTCTGGTTCGCATTGCCAGCATTAAGTCGGACCTGTTCCCAGTGCATGTTGGACTCCGACAGGGCTGCCCTCTGTCACCGGTCCTGTTCATAACTTTTATGGGCAGGATTTCTAAGCGCAGCCAAGGACCGGAGGGGGTCTGGTTTGGGGAACAGCGGATCTCGTCCCTGCTTTTTGTGGATGACGTAGTTCTGCTGGCTCCCTCCTGCCAAGACCTACAGCGTGCGCTGGGGCGGTTCGGGGCTTCCCCCAACAGAGCTGGAGGAGGTGTCAGTGGAGAGGGAAGTCTGGGAGTCTCTGCTTAGTCTGCTGCCCCCGCGACCCGGTTCCGGATAAAGCGGGAGACGACGACAACGAGTAACTTTTTTTTTTTTTTTTTCCAAAAAAATAGGCCTATAGGCCTTCATTTAGTTTAAAGTTCCAGCAATGGCAGATTCTTTCTTCTTCTAAAAGAGCTATACATAATTGTACTTAGAATCAGAATCATCCAAAATAAGTTTTGCTTGTCAAGTTTGTGTGTAAGTAAAGGAGTTGACTTGAGTTCTCCATAGATCGCATCAAAATCAGTTAATTTAAAAGAAAAAAAAATTAAATAGATATAAACACAATAGTGGCTGAAAAATAATGGTCTAAAAATACATTTATATAAATAAATAAAGGAGGATCCTGGGTTCATAACAAGTTTAATAGTGGTGTGTTGCCTCAGCACGCACATCTGATTTTGCTCACAGTAGTCCTTAGTGTACTCAGGGGGCTTGTGTTAATGCACAGTATCAGAGGGAACATTAACCACAATACTAATATTTGTAGCATTATGAATCTTTCCTGTCTTGTAGATGAGTCAAAACCAGACAGAGAAGGATATGCTCAATTACCTGAAGGACTGAGTAGTGTAAAATCAACAGAAGTCCCAGTGATGTACACTGTCAGGTTTTGTACTGACTCATCGACTGCAAAAGTGAAATTTTCAGCTTTTGCAGGGGTCCTGGCTGCTTGCAGAAGGACAATCTACAAAATAAAACTTGAGTATAATTTTCAAATCTTTGAATTTGAACAACTGGACCTTTTATTCTTACCTGAGAAGAGCTGGTGGATTCAGTTAAGATATTGATGGCCTCGAGCAGCTGACCTTTAGAGACTTCGATAGCCTGGCCTCCCGAAGTCTGAGCCAGGTCTCTGTACAGCTGAGCATCTGATCTCGCCATCCGGAGACTTTGCTGTTGGTTGCTGTCTGCTTGTCTTCGCCGTCGAAAGCCCAAACCACCAGTGATCATGAAGGTTACCTGATGGAAATTCAGTTAACATCTGCGTCATGTTAAATTTATATACCTTTGAGGAGATGATTTGGTTTAGGGAATTAGCCAGTACACCCTTTGTAGATATTTTAAGGTCATAAATACAAACTAAAACTGTTCCATTGATGGTGGAAATGCTTATACAATTTAAGTGGCTCATAATATAGCCATTGCTCATGGGAAAGCTCCTATCTGACATCTTGTAGTTGTATAATCCCTCCAGATATTCTATTTGTAAAGATATGGTAACTTGCTTTAAATTACCTACAGGTTTCTGGTGGAGTAGAAGTGTTGTTTTTTTGTCTTTGCAGCTTATCTTTAAGAATAATATAAGACCTGTACTTTATTGATCTCACATTGGAGAAATTTACCTCTGTATTTAACCCATCCCTTTGGGGAGCAGTGGGGTGCCATCGTTGGGCACCCAGGGAGCGATCAGGCCTTAAGGGTCTGGCTAAGAGAGCCAGGGTGGCCGTCTGGCTCTCTGAGGCTGCTTCAGGATGTATATTATTATAATTTGAGCTTTTAATTGTCTTTCTAATGTTTAATATAAAGTTCTTCATTGTAAAAAAAAAAAAAAAAAAAAAATTGGAAGATAAATTAGGATAATGGTTAATAATGCTATGAAAATATAAAAAAATATTTGTGTCATTATAATTAAATATTAACTAATATAGGCATGATCTAAAATGTGAAAAAAAAATCTTTTTGAAATACTAAAAAACATTAATGCACCATCATTTCAGGGTTCATTGTATTTTTTAGCTCAGCACATATGGATCACTGCTATATATATATATATATATATATATATATATATATATATATATATATATATATATATATATAGCTATATATATATATATATATATAGTGTATATATATATATATATATATATATATATATATATATATATATATATATATATATAAATATATAAATATATATATATATATATATAGTATATACACTCACCGGCCACTTCATTAGGTACACCTGTCCAACTGCTAGTTAACACTTAATTTCTAAGCGGCCAATCACATGGCGGCAACTCAGTGCATTTAGGCATGTAGACATGGTCAAGACAATCTCCTGCAGTTCAAACCGAGCATCAGTATGGGGAAGAAAGGTGATTTGAGTGACTTTGAATGTGGCATGATTGTTGGTGCCAGAAGGGCTGGTCTGAGTATTTCAGAAACTTCTGATCTACTGGGATTTTCATGCACAACCATCTCTAGGGTTTACAGAGAATGGTCCGAAAAAGAAAAAACATCCAGTGAGCGGCAGTTCTGTGGGCGGAAATGCCTTGTTGATGCCAGAGGTCAGAGGAGAATGGCCAGACTGGTTCGAGCTGATAGAAGGGCAACAGTGACTCAAATAACCACCCGTTACAACCAAGGTTGGCAGAAGAGCATCTCTGAACGCACAGTACGTGGAACTTTGAGGCAGATGGGCTACAGCAGCAGAAGACCACACCGGGTGCCACTCCTTTCAGCTAAAAACAGGAAACTGAGGCTACAATTAGCACAAGCTCATCGAAATTGGACAATAGAAGATTGGAAAAACGTTGCCTCGTCTGATGAGTCGCGATTTCTGCTGCGACATTCGGATGGTAGGGTCAGAATTTGGCGTCTACAACATGAAAGCATGGATCCATCCTGCCTTGTATCAACGGTTCAGGCTGGTGGTAGTGGTGTCATGGTGTGGGGAATATTTTCTTGGCACTCTTTGGGCCCCTTGGTACCAATTGAGCATCGTTGCAACGCCACAGCCTACCTGAGTATTGTTGCTGACCATGTCCATCCCTTTATGACCACAATGTACCCAACTTCTGATGGCTACTTTCAGCAGGATAATGCGCCATGTCATAAAGCTGGAATCATCTCAGACTGGTTTCTTGAACATGACAATGAGTTCACTGTACTCAAATGGCCTCCACAGTCACCAGATCTCTATCCAATAGAGCATCTTTGGGATGTGGTGGAGCGGGAGATTCGCATCATGGATGTGCAGCCGACAAATCTGCGGCAACTGTGTGATGTCATCATGTCAATATGGACCAAACTCCCTGAGGAATGCTTCCAGCACCTTGCTGAATCTATGCCACGAAGAATTGAGGCAGTTCTGAAGGCAAAAGGGGGTCCAACCCGTTACTAGCATGGGGTACCTAATAAAGTGGCCGGTGAGTGTATATATCTATATATATAGATATATATATATATTTATATATATATATATATAGATATATATATATATATATATATATATCTATATATATATATATATATATATATATATATATATATATATATATATATATATATAGATATATATATATATATATATATAGATATACTGTATATATATCTATATATAGATATATATATATATATATATATATAGATATATATATATCTATCTATATATATATATATATATATATATATATATATATATATAGTAAAAAACAAACCTTATCAATTACAGGTAAGGAACCAGTGTTAAAAGCTGTATCACTAATTATTGAGATTTTTTTTAGGAGCGTTAAATGGTTGTAAGCAAATAATGTACCCAGGTAGTACAGTAATACTTACAACAGACTTTGTCTGCTCTATTAGGGCAATCACTGGGTTCCTCAGATGTTCATCTTTAGCTGTAGCATCCGTAAAAACGTAGATCTCAGAATTTGGAGGTGAACCAGTTAGAGCCAGCTGGGATATAAGGAGGGATATAAAGAAAAAATAACCATTTGCTTTCTTTATTTCATCAGCTTTGAAAGCAACCATCAATCAAAGCACCTGAAGAGCAGAAAGACTCATTTCTGGAAAATCTCCACCTCCATTTGCTGATAGTGAGTTGAGGTAACCCTTAAAAATGTTTGGGTCTGTTGTCCGAATCAGAGGCCCAAAATCTGTGATTGAAAAGTGAGACATAATTTTTATGCTCCTTTTTGTTTAACTGTGTTTGTGCAAAGATTGTCTTCTTACCTTGCATGTAGCATAAAAAACAAATATTTTCAAAAACTTTATAAGAACATGAAATCTCACTTTAATGTCTGGCATGAAATTAGATTAACCTTTTCTGTTATAGTTCATTCAGGAATATATTAATAATCTTTATAAATATGAAGGTAGTGGGAGAGAGATTTCATTGAGTTAATTTCAGGAATTCATAAGATTAATGCCTTTGGATAATTCAAAAATAGTCAAATAATGGTACTAGGGCTTCCAATATGTTTACTTACAGCATGTAAGTTAAATGGACTAACATTTGTGGATTTATTTTAAGAAAAACATGTGATAAGCATTCAGAAAGGAGACTGATTCCATCTGCCAGAAACTGATATTTTTCAGAGTGAAATCTGCAAAAACCTTGTGACCAGATATAGAGGATGAAGAAATGATAAAACTTTATAGTATTTGTAAATGTCTAGTTTAAGGTGTATATATGGATATAACATACGATTGTTTAATCAGGGCTTACAGACCCAGGAAACAACGACAGACGTTGAGGTTCATCACATGGCTAAGCAGAATCGTCACTGGAAATCGTGTGGCACGGTAGGGAGGCTAGTATTCTTTTTAATGTCTGAGATGACTCAGTCTCCTCATGGACTCTTTGTTATCAGAGAACCTAGCCACAACGGAACCGCTCTGAGCCCTGCTGTTGAACCTGTACTAGTTTAGTGCGGTTCGGTTTTGTCGGCACAGTCCGGTTCAGTTTGAGTGCCATTTACACTCAACACATATCTCGGTTGCCGTGCTTAAACTGCTCTCGGCACGGTTTCAAAATGGTAATGTAAATGGGGCATATATTTCTACACAGCAGATGGGGTAGTTTTGATAAAGAATTTTTCACACTGTCAAAGCCTTAAGCCTGGCCTTTAACATAAACCATCTACCTGGATCATTGAAGGGAACAAGAATGTAAACTGAGGGCTCATCCTCTGTTCCCAATTTGCTGTCAATTATAGCTGATGTGACAGTCCTCACTGCTTCTATGTCATCACTCATACTTCCTGTGGTGTCAACACAAAAACAAAGAGGTTTCCCTTTGAAGAGTCCCATCATCCTGAGGAATGAGAAAGATGCATGGACATAAATATGTTGTTTTAATTAAGTCTGTGAATGAAAAATTTATAGTTTTAGGGAAAAAATATTAAATTCATTACTCAAGGAACTGTCTGTCTCCAGCTGCACCTCGAACATCCTCCAGCAGCTCACTGGTTGCTGCTATTGCCATATTGGCTGCCTGCTCGTGGAGATGTCCATGGCTAGAGTCCTTTGTATCTTTGTTGATTCCTCCTTTGGGTTCCAGTAGAGCTGTACTATCAGGGACATTTCCATGGCTGCATTTTCCTGTTTGTAAGAAAAGTTTTTAACATTTTTATACAAAATGAATTATCATAAAAATGGATCGATCCAAAAAGTAAAGAGGCCAAAGGAGGCGTCTTGTGGCACAAGGAATCAAAATTTCCAAGAAAAAATATTCCAGAAGTTGTGTGTAGAACGTTTCTAAGGAAGCTGGAAGCTCACGTTCCCTGCTATTTATTTGTACTTTAATGCAGTATATTGTTGATAAATATAAAATGGCTTTTCTTATGTTAATTTTGGGTACCAATGCGTAAAATAAGCCTCAGGAGACTGAACTGGATAATAGGTTGAAACTGCATCTTCACTGACTATAGCACCAAGCCCACTGGTGCCAAACAGTTTGCTTGGGGTGTGGAGGAGGTGCGATTGCTGCTGAAAGACCCTTTGTTCCTCGTTTTGAAGACAGGTCTATTGGGAAGCTTTCAGGCATGCCACCAAGACTACTTAGTCATTTTGTGAGCAATGTGAAGAAGAGATGTCCAGACATCTTCTCCCTCTTTATCTGTCAGGGTCACAGTGGAACTGGTGCCTATCTCCAACAGTCCTTGGGTGAAAGGTGCGGTACATCCTGGACAGGTCACCAGTCCATTGTGAGGCAACACAGAGACATGCAACCATGCGAACACTCACACCTAAGGACAATTGAGAGATGCCAATTAACCTAATAGTCATGTTACTGAAATGTCGTAGAAAGCCAGAGTACCCAGAGAGAACCCACACATGCAAGGGGAGAAAAATGCAATCTCCATGTAGAAAGAATCAAACCTATTACTTTCTTGAAGCTAGTCAGCAGTGCTACAACCTACACCACTGTGCAGGTCACGAAAATATGTAAAAATGGGTTTGTGGTGTTTATACGTAGTTTGTGGTATTTTTTATTTTTTTTTTACAGATAATGAATTTAGTGGATTTTACATTCATTCAAAAGGGAATGATTGTTAAGGATTGTTGCTCTTGGTATTTTCTACCTAATTTACCTAATAGTTGCCATGACTCACAGAGCCAAGTGAGTGGGTGGGTGAATAGGTAGGTAGGTTGGCTCACATTTATGTTCTATATTATGTTGGTGTCTTGTGTAAAATGGCAACAAAACAAGCTTTAGAAAGAAATTCATAAGTTGTGAATGCTCTTAAAATGTGCTATGAGAGGATCCAGAGAGTGCTCTTAAATACCTTTATGAATTCCTCAAATTTTGGAAGCAATATATAAAAGAGCATTCCCATCACCATAAAGCCAGATAACTGACAAAAGCATCTGTTAATAAGAGTGAGTCCTTACAAATTATGATTTTACCTGGAGGCTTGGCAAAGGGATTCACACTGAAATATCCTGAAGTAAGTATGTTGTTGTCAAGGATGTCCTCCAGAATGTTGTCCTTGCAGTCATCTCCATTACAGTTGCGGCAGGTTGCTCTAGTTTTAGCTAAGAGTCACATCAGATTCCACTATTAATCTGGGTTGAGTGTACTCACAGGAATCCATGCAAAGCAAGTTCTCTGTCTTGTTTGAGTTCCTCTTCTAAGCAAATCTCATTTTAATTTTTGTAAAGATTATTGCATCTTTACCTGCTATATCTTCAATGCTGATCTTCCCTCTGATCAAATTGGTGTTTGGGAATCTGTTGCCTATTTCCACCCAGTTACTGTGACTGTAGAAATCCTTTCAAAGCAAAAAAACAACAACAAAAAAACTTTATTGCAGCTTTACAGCATTACACTTTCAAATTCCAGCACAATATTGTACTTTCATTAGTATTTTTTATTTTTTGAGCTAAATACACTAATTTAGCTGCAGCAGGATCTGGTAGATATACAGAGGTGGAAAGTGCATGTATTCAAGTAAAAAAGTATTGCTAATAACTTAGTTTCACTGACATTCAGTACCTTGCAACACCCTTCATACGGTGAACAGTTGTTTGCTTATTATCTTGTTACAATCAAACATTTTTTAGTTTACTGAAAGGTTTGTAAACTCTGTCCCTGCTGCAGAAAAAACAACTCCACAGAATCATGCTGCCACTCACTGGTATAAACATGGGGTTCAGGATCATGTATACTTAATTATGTAGATTATCAGTTTCCTACCACAAAGTGTCTAGTTATACTATGGCAAGTGTTGCGTTTTGTTAGAAGTTTTATCCTATACTCATCTCAGGGATTGTAAAATGTGCAATGCAATCCTAAGAAAAAATAACTATTTGTAAATAAAGTATTTCTAATTGAAAATAGTTGTATTTCTTTCCATTGATTTATCATATCAGACAAATTCAACAAAACTATGATCAGGTGAAATTAATAGTATCAGTTGTTTGGGCCTTAAATTGCGCAAGGCTGTCAATGCAAATTCTTTTTAAGGATGCATTTCTACAGACTGCTAACCTAATCAGGGAGTGCCCAGCCCCTGCCTCTTGTTCATTGACTGAGTTGGGTCAGATTCATCCTTGCAACTCCGAAGGGTACTGGATACAGGCAAGTAAAGAAAATTTGTCGGGTTGAAGAGTGTTTTATTTTCAACATGAGAATATTAATCTCCATAAATCTTTGAGATGTTGACGCAAAGCTGGGTAGAGTTTGAAATATAATCAGCCACAGTTAATCTTTAGCAAGATATAGGTTAAACAGAAATACCTTTAAGGTGTGGAAAATGTTTCCTAGACGCGAGATTGCTGAAGCAAAGTTTTTCTGCTTGTTGGCACCCTTTACCACTGATAATCCATCTGTGATGAGCTTCTGTCCTTCTGTTATCTTCTCATTGTCACAGTGATGAGGTGCACTCAAGGCCTTGAAAATATCTATTTGCCAGTTATTACTCTTGATCTTGTTGATGGTCCGCATGAAATTTTTGGAGGATTTTGATGCTTCACATGCAGTGGCAACAGCTGTAGCAGTAAGGGACTTCAAATGCACACATACATAAAGATATAATATTTTACTGTTAGACTGTACATTTTAGAGAGGAATAGGAAAAAAAAAATAAGGAAACTGTATTTCTTACAGGAAAAGTGAAGTCTTTGCCCTCAGACAGAGCCAGGCTACGGCAAACCTGTGCAGTGATGTTAAGGATTGCTCTCTCTGTGATGTCTTGATGAGTGAGAGAACCTCTATTAAGTAAGTTATTAAGGAAGCGTGGTGATATCTTAAAACCATGAACTCCAGTATTTAAAAGCAGGAAGCAAAGTAAGGCCAATCCAGACTCCTTGCAAAACCTGTTGCAAACAGAGAATACACAGTTGTTACACATTTTTTCATGACATGACCTTAAGAGGTTTACACAATTCTCGCTCAGCAAAAAGTCATTACAACATTCCTAAAAATACAACTTGAATGCAAATCGTTGATGTGCCAGGAATATATAACATGTTAATTTCAAGGTTACTCTTGGTTGTTTAACAGACTACTACACATGATGCTCATAATCGACCCTAAAAAATATGTAGTATATATATTAATCTAACAAAAGCTTTTGACACTATTGATCATATTATTTTAATAAATAAACCAGAGAGAGGTAGTACTAGTGATTTGTTTTTAAATCGGGTTACACAACGGGTCACACAGTTTGTGAAGATGAGCAACCATGCATCAACATGTTTAAATACCTTCATGTGGTTTCCTCCAGGGGGGAGTGTTGGGTGCTAAACTGATCTAACTTTATCTAAAGTAACTGACTTATCCAAAATGTATTTTTGCAGTTAATACAATTAAAGTCTGGATTTTAAGAATATTCAAATATAAAGTTTAAGATTAAATAACACAACACTTTTAAAAAATGATGGGAAAATTTTGTTTTGCAGAGGACAACTACCCTGATAGCTTACTTTAATTATATTTTGATTATCTTCTTTATGAATCTTGAGAATTTTTAAAAACTACATAAAATTAACAGCAAATATATATTTTAAAGGACTACATACACTACAATTAGCTTTTAGGTCTTTTTGTTGTTGCTATTAAAGTGTGTAAATGAATTTCAAATAATGCTGCCTATATTTCCGGGGAATTACTTTTATTCACATTTGTAGAAATACTACTTCTTTGTCTAGAACTGTCTATTTGTTGCCCTCCACATGTTAAAAAAAACATGGGTTTCTGTATATTTTTGTTTTAGCTGTGATGGGGTTGTGATATAATTTGGTAGAACTGATGTCAGAAGCTCTACCCTGGGCAGTGGTAGTTCACTTAGGGACTGAGAATAAATTAAATGTTGGTCTCCATTTTAAAGGCCAATACATTATACTAAATGCACTTATATTTATAAAAACAAGTCTACATAATCTGCCCAGTGTGTATTATGATTTGACATTAGTTTTTGTGTCAGTTTCTTACAAGACCTCGAAGCAACTTAAAAAGACATTTATTGATGGACCCCATGACATTCCACTGTTTGTGGTAAGCGGGAGCAGTCACGAGGCTCAAACCAGTTCAGCTCAGGGCAGCTGGCCTCAACCACAGATCCTTCCTATTTACCAGGATTTCTTGGGTGTCTGGTGGAGACCGTGAAGAAAGATCAAACTGCTACTTTGGAAAACAGTCATCAGTGGGATTTCTCTGCCTGCCCATGTTTGTATTTCTACATTATGTGTTGCAGTGTGCCGCTGTCAATGAGAGTCAAGATCATGCCCAACCCTAAATCCTCCTCCATGTTTACAGCCCTCATGGCACACCTTTTTATGAGAGGATTGTTTTGAGGATAAAGTCCTTTTCTTCTGTGGCCCAAAGACTAAATCTACCTTCTTCCATCTCTTAGGTCAGAGTACCAGTATCGGTGGCTTCTTTTAAAGGCCAATTAAAACTTCATAATTTGCTTAAATGTTATTTTATTGTAATTCTTTGTTTGTTTGTTTATTTGTTGAAGCACATCGTTATTTTTCTCTTAAAATGTGCTATATAAATAAAATTTTACATACTTATCTACTTACTTTCACTCATTTTTGACATCTAACTTTGCATCCCTGGCTTATTATAAGACTGTGGTCTTGCTTTGACTGATTACTGATGGCCATTTTACTGAAATTGCTTGTAAAAATCTTTTGTCTGCATGTCCAAATAGTACATGTATTTTGGCACAAGAGTAAAAAAGAACTGGTACATTTTAATAATATGCTTTGTCCTTGAAATCACTCAATTAGTTATTTTGCTAAACATAAAGAATCTGACAACATTTATATAATCAGACATTGATAGTGATTCCCTAACCACTGATCTGTCATGGTCTTGGTTCTGTTGTACTTTGCTTCTTGTTTTCTAGTTTTATTGGTTTAATTCCAGTTTTGTTGTAATTTCTAGATTTGTTAGTTGTCATGTTTTTCTGTTGTCCTCTGTAGCCCTCTTGTGTGTGTGTGTGTTCCTTTCCCCTTGGCTCCCTCTGTGTCTCCTCTCACACCTGCTCCTTGTCAGCTCGTTAGCCCTCCCTTTGTCTCTGTCAGTTATTTATACTCTCCTCTGCTGTCACTCCTTGTTGGTTCCTTGTCATGCTGTCTTCCCATGCTGTTTTCTACCTCCCTCATCTCTCCCTGGCTCCTCGTGTTTGATTTCCCCAGATTCTGGTTTGATTTACATTATTAATCGGATTTTTGGATTCCTGCCTTTGTTTTTCTGTTTTATCATCATTAAAACTGCAACAAATCTCCTCAGCCTCTCTGCCTCTGCATCTGGGTCCTCAAACCTCAACCAAACCCTGACACTGATGACTGTAAACTATGTTTTCAATCAAACATACTCTCTGAAGGGAGTAGTACACACCGTTATAGGAAATCTTCAATTTCTTAGCAATTTCTCGCATGGAATAGCCTTCATTTCTGTAGTCCACCAGTAAGTAAATCTGCATAATTACCATCCCGATTATTCCATATAAGTCTACGAATTTCCACGCCTCTGTGAATGAACGTGCTGGTCTTTATTTATAGAAATGGCATTGAAGATTATGTTTTACATCTATGCAAGACCTTTTTATTTCATACAAACAATGTAATGTGCATATTGTGACAGTTAGGCCACTTCCTTTTGTCCTTAACTTATTTATTACTCATTAGGGAGTTTTTCTCTCCACTGTTGCTTGGTGAAAGAAATAACTGAGTCAATGACACAATGTAAAAGACTCTCTACTGTCATCTCATGCTCAACCAGGAGAAATGAATTCTTTGTAGCCAATGGCTCAATGTAATCAGTTGGGTTTTTCGTAAATAGAAAACTTTTAACTTAGACAGCTTTTATTGTCATTTTCTATACCCAGAGTGTATTCAAAATGAATTTTCGTTTTGTACAGCTTTCATAGCATTTCGATTCCTTAAAGTGCAGCAATGATCAAATGTTAACTGTGTGGGAGGAAAAAAGCATGGTGCAAAAACACATTGATATGGAATTTCAGAGCATTAAGTATATAAGGTGCAAATATGCAGAATTCTGGATTTCAGGGTGATAGCAGTGTGATGGTAGTCAGTGAACAATCATGTCTGTATGATTTCATTGAAATGCAGTTTTAAATCTGCTGAGATACCTTGCATTGTGAATTGGCACTATATAAATAAAACGGAAGAATTGAAGTTAAAATGAATTATCTAATTATCTTTACTTAACCATTAATTGAGTAAATTATTTATATTGGAAAATGCATTTATATGTATGACAAAATGAGATAAAAAGTAACAATTAGCTATTTCTTTGAGAAAATATGAAAGTATCTTTAAGTATCTTTCTTTTTTGATTAGTTCAGTCTTCACTGGAAAGTTCTGACCAGCAAAAACAAGACAGTCAATATCACAAATATACATATGATAATGAAAACAACAATAGACACTGTAACAACAATGTCTCTCCTGGTTTTTCCCTGAATAATAGATACAGCTTTGTTTAAAGTATAAGTAGAAATTACTTTACCTCAAGTCCTGGTGCTGGTTTGGTGATGACATGAAATGTGATGTGTTGACTACTTTGAATTGGTATATATATATAATTTTTTTGTTTTGTTTTACTGGGAGGAGTCTTCCAGGTAATGGGTGTGGTGGTTATTATAATATGACTCAAAAATGTGGCTGTACAATAGCCTGACAACAGAAACAGAGATAGAAAAAAAAAAAAAAACTTTGAGTTACTTTAAAAATAAACATACCAGAGCAAACTATTTAGGTCATCAGTGTCATGATCTTATCAAGTGCTCTCACCCACATGCAGAAAACCAAAACAGAGAGACCAGGGAAAAGTTTAACAGGTTTATTTAGAAAAATGAGATGAGTCAAGTGCTGCTCTAAATACTGTTCAACCGAAACTGTAGAGTAAAGTAAAGCCTTTTCTTCCAATAATATCAACTCTCAGTGCTCATATTTTTTTTTAACTCAACAGTATTTAGGGATTAATCTAACTCCAACATTTTCTAAATTGTTTGGTACAAACTTCACCCCATTGGTGGACAGGCTAAACATCTAATTTTCCTAGATGGACTGCCATCAATCTGACATTGGTTTGTTGAATTAATTGTATAAAAATGAATGTTCTCCCTAATTTTTTTTTTACCTTTTCCAGTGTCTCCCAATTTGTTTGCCAAAATCATGTCAAAGTCAAGTCTATAGATAGGTGTATTACATCATTTCTATGGGCAGGTGAAATTCCCAGAATACAAAAAACATTTCTCCAGAATCATCGCTCTGATGGAGGATTGGGATTGCCACATTTACAAATACATTATTGGGCGACAAATTGCCAGAAGATACTATATTGGTATCATCAGTCATTAGATCATGTCTGGTGTGAAGCAGAAAACAACTCATGTCTTTCAACATCACTTCCAGCCCTAGTAACCCCCAGAGTCCCTATAACCATTTCTTCTTAGGAGACTGGAGTTTGATACCTCTGCTTGTAGAGATATGACAAACATGTATGTGGGTTTGGTTTTCCAGTTCAGGTGTTTTCCTAGCAAACACAAGCATTTCATATCTTTTTTTAGAATTTAGATTTCTGGGTCTGATAAGGGAAGTGAGCTATTTGGGTTAAATGGGAGAGAATTGACCTAATTCCTGATGTTGAAACAGCTTGGTCATTTTTCTATGAGTATTTTATGGCTGTTGTTAATAAGCATGCCCCCTTTAAAAAGAATCAGAATTAAAGGAAGAGATAACCATTGGTTCACACCAGAATTGGCTAATGCTTTACATGAGAGAAACTTGGCATGGACAAAGGCAAGGAAAACCCATCTTAAACGCAACTGGGATATTTTCAGAAAATTGAGAAATAAAAGTACCTCTCAAACAAAAAAATCAAAGTCCGAATTCTACTTATCAACCACAACTGAAAGTCTCAATGACCCTAAAAAGTTTCGGAAAACAATTAAAACTTTGATTGTTGAAAATAACTCACAGACTTTGCCAAATTTTATTGTTCATATCTCAACAAATATCCATGATAAAGTCGAAATGTTAAATTGTTTTAATCAACACTTTATATCCTCCAAACCCTCTAACATGTCAACCACGCCTATAACAACACCTGCACCAGTTTCTGATGTGTCAAAATTCAGTTTTCAGCCTTTTACGTTGTGTCAAGTCTATAATGCATTGAAATGATTAGATGCTCGAAAATCTCAACGACCTGACCTAATTGATTCCTACTTTTTAAAAATATCAGCAGATTACATAGCTCAACCCTTGACTTACATTTTTAACTTAAGTCTAAGCACTATGCAAATTCCCAAAATTTGGAAGTCTGCTTTTGTCACTCCACTATTCAAAGGTGGCGAATCAGCAATCTTAAATACTGTAGCTATCGGCCTATATCAAAGCTCTACATCCTGTCAAAGGTTTTAGAATCTTTAATCAATGAACAGTTGAAAGAATATCTGTACTCTAATAATCTGTTGTGTAAATTTCAGTCAGGTTTTAGAAAAGGTCATAGTACTATCACAGCGACTTTGAAAGTGATGAACGATATCTTGGCAGCTCTTGACAATAAACAGCATTGTGCTGCACTCTTCATTGATTTATCAAAAGCGTTCGACACTGTCAACAACAATTTACTTGAAGAGAGATTGACCAATATTGGACTCTCTAAACAAGCTGTTGGATGGTTCAGTAATTATCTGACTGATTGATCCCAATGTGTCAAATCCGATAAAATTTGTTCTAGTATATTGTCACTAACTAAAGGAGTGCCCCAAGGCTCCGTTTTGGGGCCTCTACTATTTACTATCTATGTGAACAATGTTGGCCAGGATCTTATAGACACAAACTACCATTTTTATGCCGATGACAGGGTTTTTTACAGTTTCGGGAAAAACCCTAGTGCGTGTGTCTCTACTTTACAAATTGCTTTTAATTCGGTTCAGCACAGGCTTTTAAAACTAGATCTTTCTTTAAATTCAAATAAAATTAAAATGATGTTATTTTCAAAAACAAAGACAAAATTGCAAAATAGCGATCCTCTTATCACCTTGGATGGTTCAGAGATAGAAAGGGTTCAATCTTTTGAATGTTTAGGAATTTTAATTGATGAAAGTCTAAATTTTAAACCTCATGTCAAACAATTGATTAAGAAACTCAGACTGAAAATTGGCTTCTTCTTTAGGAATAGGCTTTGTTTCTCTTTTAATTCGAAGAAGAGACTGGTAGCTGCAACATTTTTACCCATTCTGGACTATGGTGACCCAATCTATATCAATGCCCCAGATCAAGTTCTAAAAATGTTAGACTCAGTTTACCATGCCTCCCTACGATTTATCACAAACTGTAAGCCTCGCACACACCACTGTGAACTTTACATACGTGTGGGCTGGCCATCATTAGAGACTCGTAGACTCACTCACTGGTATATGATGATTTATAAGGGTATTCTGCGTCTGCTCCCCTCATACCTCTGTGAGTACATTCAACCAAGAGCGGCCGGACTGTATTCTCTACGTTCTCAAGAGTCTTTGCTTCTGTCTGTACCTAGTGTCCGCACTGAAGCTGGAAAGACAGCTTTTCAGTACTCTGCTCCCACAGCATGGAACAATCTTCAGAAAGACTGGAAGTTGAAGGATTTGATTCCAATCGGACATTTTAAACGATTGCTCAAAGGTTTGGAAATGAGATCTATGGTTTGTAACTGTTTTATGAATTTCTAATTATAGATAGATGTAATTCTAAACTGTAATATAATTTGTAATGTATTCTTTTGCCGCTGTCTTGGCCAGGACTCCCTTGAAAAAGAGATTCTTAATCTCAATGGGACTTTTCCTGGTTAAATAAAGGAATAAAAAAATAAAAATAAAAAAAATGTTTTGTTTTTTTTGTTTTGGTTTCGTTTCTTTTTTGTTTTTGCTCTTGCAGTTATACACCAGCATCCTAAAAGGGGTCATAGAATGCGAAACCGAGTTTACATTGTCATAGATGAATAACAATAGTTCAGTGGGTGAAATGGACGTACAGAGAAGTTCAAGCCCCATCGACACCTCCTTTCTCTGCAAATCTCACAATTCTAAACTTCCACCATAAAACGGGCGAATCCAGATGAAGCACAGAATTGACGTCAATTTAGGGATGTTGCCATATTTGGTTCTGGCCTGTACTTTTGTAACGCCCTGAAATTGACATACAGACGAGCCCATTGGTTCACTATCGTAACTGCAGTGTTCCAGGCTGCACGGAGAAAGGCGAACATTTTTACAGTCTTCCCAAGGATCTGAAGACTCAAGAGGCATGGATCATTTTTGTCTATCATAAGATCCCACCAAAGTTTGATGCTCAGCTGTTCACTTGCTCTAAGAATTTTACCTTTTTAGCAGAGACAGCTTTCAAAATCTTGGACCATTCAAAGCAGGATTTGCTAAACCTCTTTCACTGACACAAGGGGCTGTTCCAACCATAAGGCCATCACAACCACAAGCTTTAAGTACGATTCAGTCACTAAGCTGTTGATAAAAATGCTAGCAACAGTTTTGAGTTTCCCAAGAGCAGGACACTTTTTTTGGGGTGGGGGCTTGGGCCGCTGACTGGACCAGACCGGACATTCTCACCTAGCCGTGAGCTCCGGGGCTGGTCCGGGAATCCCAGTGGTACGACCGAACTTGACCCGGTAACGGTATGCTTTGCCCCCGCCTGCCTTACCTGCCTAACACGGGGCTGCGGCTACCGTCAGTGGGTTGGGTTCGGTCTCTCCATCCCCAGCTGGATCCCTCCCCCCATCCACTGGAGTTTCTGGAGCAGCACCGGAGCTAGCAGCTCTCGGTTACACTGCAGTGTATTCGACCAAAATTCTGGACGAGAGGATGCTATTGAAATTACAAGGCCTTATGTATGAACATGGGGAAAAATCAGGTCGCCTGCTATCTCACCAGTTAAAACGTAAAGCATCTGAGCAACATATTTCAAGTATTAAAAACAACAATAGTGGACTTACAGGGAACCCTATGGAAATGAATCAGACCTTTCAGACGTTTCATTCAAAACTGTATTCTTCTGAAGCGCCTGCAGACAATACAAATATGTCAGATTATTTTTGTCAGTTGAATTTGCCTTAAATAAATGAGGTCAGTAGAGCAGAATTAGAAAGCCCTATTTCTTCGACGGAGATTAAGGATGCTATTCGGGCAATGCAGAACGGGAAGGCACCTGGCCCAGATGGGTACCCAGTGGAATTCTTTAAAAAAATGTCCAGGCAATTAGTTCCGCTATTACAGGATATGTTTCATGAATCAAAACACACTAAAATATTGCCAAGAACTTTAACAGAGGCCTCTATAATTTTACTTTTAAAACCAAGGAAAGACAAAAAGGAATCTGAGTTACATCAACCTATTTCCCTTCTCAAATGTGATGTGAAGATTTTGGCAAAAGTGCTTTCATGCTGTATGGAAAAAGTAATGGCAGAGGTCATTTCCCCAGTCAAAAAGGTTTTATTTTGGGACGTCATTCCTTTTCTAATGGGTGTCGTCTTTTAAATATTCTATACACACCAGCATCCAA